GTGTGAGATCGTGTGTCTGTTATGGTTTTGTTAGTTATAATTGTTAACTAATAGTGCATAAGACGACAATCTTAGTGAAAAGTGAAAAGTAGAAATTTATAAGATATATTTTTGAGTTTTTGCGTCTTTTTGGAATTATCAAATGGATTTAGGAAACACTTTATACACTTTGGATTTGTATGATTTTTCTATTGAGGTTAGAGAGACTAAGATCACTTCCATAAAAAATAGGATTTTGTTTGGGAACTTAAAAGGTTGTTTTTTGTAACTCCATTGTAATTTTTTGTAACAAATTTTGAAGTATAATGAATCAAAAAGTTGTTATGTGTCATTGACTTGGATTGATTTGATCGAACTAGATAAATATATTTTTTTTGTTCTCGTCTATTATATTTTTATTGCTTGAAGTCATTTGGGTGGTTGTCATTGTACTTTGTCTCATACATTAAAGTTTGGGTGTGTTTAAACTTAAAATTATTCTATATGTTTTTCACCGCAAATTTAGAAAAATGGTTTAAGTTTACAAGTGAACACTATAAGTTTAAATTGGGAAATCAATAATTTTTTCATAGACAACAAATTTAGATTATGAAAGATGAAGATATAAGAAATACTAATTCAATAAAGGTGTGTAGAAGAATTTAAGGGAGAGTCATTGATGCTTGCAAGCCAAACAAAAGTGTATTATCTTGTGTCTAAGAGATAAAGTAATAACGAAAAGCGTGAGGGAGAAGATTGTGTTTTAGATGTGAGTCAAGCTTAAAACATTATATATAATCAAATCATTGGCTCACATATTATGCCTGAAACAATAATTTTATTATTTCTGCATGGTGGAGAATAAATCTATTGTAGAGTAGTTGACAAAATTTCATAAGATCATTGATGATTTATAAGATAAATATTGAATAAGAGGACAAGGCTCTACGATTTTTAAGATCATTACTTAGATCTTATGAGAACTTCAAGGGTGCCCTTCGTATGATAAGGAATGTATTATCACTTTGGATGAATTCTAGACGACCGTAAGATTAAACCAGTTATCAAAGTTAAAAGATTTAAAAGTTGACAATAACGATAAAGACTTAAGTGTCTCTGGAAGAAGGAGTGAGAGTAAAGGATAATAGAAAGGGAAAAGATATAGTTCAAAGTGCAAGTCCAAATACAATGTTTTGGATAAGTCAGAGTTTAAATATTTCATTTATCACGAAATCGGTCACTTTAAAAAGGACTATTCCGAAACAAGAAGGTTAAATACGAGGAGGTAAATGGGATTATATGCCTAGTTATTTAAATACGAGTCTCTTTTACCATAGTTTCTAATTATTTAACCTCATTCTAATACTTGGAGGTTAAATAATTAGAAACTATGGTGAAATGAGGCAGATGAGATTCTATGCCTAGTTATTTAAATAATTAGTTTCTAATTATTTCGGTTCTATGCCTATTAATTTCTTGTTTCTTCGAAAACTCATTAAATTGCTTTAAAAAACTCTATGACGTTGTCAGCTTTTGATACATTCTCTTTAGTTTCAAATTGATTTACTATAAGAGTATAACAATCATTAACCCTTTAAAAAATGTTGCTTTTTACTTTTCAAAATGTAGACCTCATAATCTTCTATAGAAATAATCAATAATGGAAAAGAAATAGAATTGACCCACATGAGTTACCACCCTTGTCAAAAAATAGATCTGAGTGAATATACTAAAAAGGTCAACTTGAACTATGGTGAAAAAAAACTCATATTAAAGTCAAGGTTCCTACTACTTAGACTAGATACGATGAGGTAAACGAGATTCACGTTTCTAGTAATATTGATGCGAAACACACAATGTAGATGGGTGGTTCTCCAGAATCGTCTGGTGTTATGATAGGGTGTGAAACTTTATAGAACCATGTCATGTAGCCCTCAGCATAAGCATAATGTACATGAGTTTGCTTCCGACGATACTCCTATAGTACCAGGTGAATCTCGAAATCATTCAACATCGCCTGTAGATCTGTGTGGCGCACGTCAGGAAGAGCAGACTCATGTGGAGGTCTTGGAATAATATGCAAGTATCCAAACTAGCGCATCACATGCTCGGGCAGATAGTGATTCATAAGAAATGTCACGCATCCCAGCCAATTGGAGTATAAGAAAATGACGTCAAACTAACATGTCTGACGGTGACCCTCGTATGGGCAGAAGCAAACGTCATCTGGTACCATAAGGTTAAGAGAGACTCTAAATGGCTTGACCTCACCATTCCCCTTATACGGAACAAAAGCGGATGCACGAGGCCAGTTCTCTGTGTAATCAAGCACAACTTCAAACCCAGTTATGCGAGGGAAGTGGGAGATGGTCCATCCCTGAAAATGGTTTGGAAACAATATGAATAACAAGTGTAACAAATGCATTATGAAAATATTAGTAACAAGAAATTATTGTAAGCACCATGCAACGCCCTGTCATCTACTTGTCTTTCAAAGACAAGCCTCGCCCAACTTCGAGTACAAGTAGATCAAATAGACGAAACCCAAGTTGTACTCGTGAACCGCACTCAGGTCTGTGAAGTATTTGAGATATAGCACATTGAGATATGTTTCACTTTTGTCCACAAACATGCACGTGTTAACCAAGAACAAGAGGTAAACACCTCAATGCACAATGTCAGTGGTTCTCAACCTGCACGTCATCGCTTATGGCATACGTAGCCCCTCTTGCATGACTATTACAAAGGGTTTTCAAAAAGCTAAATCATGCATGAGCAGCTCTAGTGAGAGTTGCCTCCTCTAACGCCTCACCAGGGTCAGCTGCCAATAAGGTGACCATCATATCGACCCCTTCCTCTCGCCTGATTCTCCCATGGTCCAATAATTTCCCTCTGATGGAAAGATGCGGGAGGCAAGAGACGTCATCCAAAATGATGGTCATCTCGCCTATAGGTAGGTGGAAAGATGACGTCTCTGAGTGGCACCTCTCTGTAAAAGTCGTCTGCATATTGTGGTTTATGGTCACGTATGTAAATGAATATAAACCTGAAAAGACCGAAATAGCGGATAACATCACTGAACCAATTATCAGTGGGTTATGGCAACACTAGTATCTTCCTGTCGTGGTTAATCATTTTCAAACAATCACACTCTTGAAAAAAGAAAATATAATCAATATGAATTTAATTAGTTGACCACATATGTATTATAAAGGAAAAGAAATATACATCTTCATTGTAGACATGCCTAGCAGCACGCTCTTCACAATGTGCTCTTCACAATTATAAAATAAGGATGTGTCATATGACCCTCCGGGATAACTTTCTAATGGAGCATCTTGATCGGCTTCCTCCTGAATTTCAGGGGCTTCAGGGTCAACAAGGGCCTCAATATCCATAGGTTTTGCTAAATCATATGCCTGAGAGAGTCAGTACGAGAATCAGACGATCGGGCTTACGAAGTAGATGCAGCATCAAACGAGTTATCAGTAACTTATGGCCTCGTGGTCCTTGTTGTAGCCCTCTCACGTCCTACCGACGTGATTTGGGACATACGCCCGAGTTTAATCTGATGAGTATTGTCTTCAGCCATTGCATCTGCGTAATAAAACAGAGAAAAATATCAACAGCATGCTCGGAAAAATTCACAAAATGTCCCAATTTTTTACTGAGTCAAATTTAGAGATGCATCTCGAAAATAATGCAGAGCAAATCTGAAGATGCGTCTCCGAACAAACCTGTGATTGTCTCATGGCAGATATGTCATTTCTGTCCTAACAGTCCCAAGAAAATCTCATTGCAAGAAAATCTCATTGCATGTTGTTATAACCTACCAATTTCTTTTACATTGGTATCTAAAGTGCCTAAAACAGTTAATGTATCCTAGAAAAACTAACTACAAATCAAATCATAAAAAGAAGAAATTATTTGAAAAACTTCCTAGATAAAATTGATTGATCAGAGGAAGAAGTTTGGATGTTATGAGAAGCTTGAAAGGGCTCTAATTATATAAGCTTGATTGAATGGATGCAGAGGTAAAATCTTTGCAAACTCAAATGACATTTTTTTAGAACTTTTGAGAAAATGAAGGAGGACAGGGAAGGGTGAGCTCAAATGACTTTTTTTTTAGAACATTTGAGAAAATGAAGGAGAATAGCGTTTGAAGATGCATTTTCGGACCATCCACTAACATTTGAATAAATGGTGTTTACGAAGATGCATTTTCAAATGCATTATTTTTACATGCGAAGATACATTTCCGAATTAAATTTTAACATAAAAAAGATGTCTTTTCTATTTGATCTAAGAAATAGTTAAAATAAATACGTTTAAAAATGTATCTCCAGAACATCCATAAAGATGAAAATAGCATTCCTCTTATTTATTCACTTCCTTTTCACCCCTTTTAATTGCTGCAAGTGCAACTCTTTTTCTTTATTGGCTTTTTCAATATGGAAAAAAGGTGGTTAATCCTTTAGTGGTCCTCATGTTCTTCTTGGAAATTCAACATTGATATACATATATCCCATACTTTTGTATTGTGTAATAACTGAACTTTACAACATGTTACTTACAATCTTAGCCCCCAAAAAATGAATTAATCATCACATAACTATTTACATTTTATCTTATAACCTACTTGCTCGAAACAACTATACAACAAAAAAAGTAAGGGATGTGAAACATGTACATAGTTGAATTATGACTCCTGTTGAACTCTTCTTCCCCTGCAACAGGTGAAGATTAGCGCGGTTGATACTCGTCCAAGTAATATTGCAGTCGAAATTACAACTTTCTGAAAAGAATGAACACATTTTAGCATGTATCTTCCAAATTTAGAAATGTGACAGATGTATCTTTCAATCATTTAATCCAAGGATGATGAAAGATGACACTTACAATAACTACACAAGGCCGTGGTTGAGGTCCATTACGCTGAATTTTTCGATGGAAGACCGAGTTAACATTGGCTGCCATGTAGCTAGTACTGCAGGGTGTCAATAGTAGATCTTACTTCCATACTATGACCCGATACTGAAGACACGTGCAACTGCCATATAGAGCTGCTCTTCTTCGAATGGCTTTGACACGTAGTCGTCCATCCCACATTTTTTGCATTCTTCATTTGATGCCGGAGTTACATGAGCTGTCATAGCTAATATTGGAGTGTGCCAATGAGAATTATTGCCAAACATCTCTGCCATTGCTTCCCCAGAGGCAATTTTTTCATTTACCTCGTTCTCCATATACCGGATTTGCCTCGTAACCTCAAAACTGCAACATTTACAAAAATGCTGGTAAATTATGAGTTTATAATTTTCATGCGATGTGGTGGAATAGGAAGATTTCTTACCCGTCCATTTCTGGCATTTGGAGATCCATAAAACAAGCATCAAAATTATGCGGTGGTTTAAGCAGCTTTAAAGCAGCCTTACCGCCCTCAACACAAGTAACTACTGCCGCGTATTTTCGCAGAACACCTTCTGCAACTTTTCTGTTCACCGCATTATCATCGACCACCAAAATTTGTTTGTGTAGTAACAAATTTTCAAGTTTGGATACTTTCCTTCTAGTAACTTGTTTTCTCCCAATTCCGAGGGATTCTCTGTAGTATCGAATCAAAGCATTTAGCCAAAGAGGCTTCATTAGTATATCATCTATGATACCATCTGACTTCAGCTCGTTGCGCTCGCCAAAGCTTAGATGGGCGGACAGGAGAAAAATCTTTGAAAACTTTAACGGGTCCTCTTTGACGCCATTATGTACGTGTTTCTTGATTTCGAATAAGCTACTACTTTCCTTGTCCCAAGCATCCTTCTCGATGAGAATCATGGCCGGCTGTGTTGACATACTGAAGAATTAACGAACCGAAACAGAAGTAAAAAAATTAGTAAATAACAGCTTGTGATCTGAATGTTTATCTTAAACGGAAAAAACAAAACACTACCTTGAGTTGCAAGCTTCGGATAGACTGAATTTTACATCCACAGACATCCCTAACCTCTGCAGGTGATATCGTGTAACCTCGGTTCGGATTTTTCTTCTATCTACTACTAATGCTTTCAATCCTTGGAACTCAGGGTTGTTCTTCTGCCAGTTTTCATCCCGAGATTCGGATTTTCCTTTTCTGAAATTTCCAGTAAACGAAAAAGTACTTCCAATTTCAGGCTCACTTACAAATCCAATTTCTCCTCCCATGAGGTCAACTAGACATTTACTAATGCTCAATCCTATTCCAGTTCCACCGTATGTTCGAGATGTAGAACTATCAGCCTGCATAAAAGGTGTAAATATGCGGCTTTGTGCATCGGTCGGAATTCCTATACCAGTGTCCTCAACCGTTACTAGTAGTTGAACAGTTTCAGACTCTTCCGCCAAATTTAACTTTTTAAAATTTTCCCAGCTTTTCCATCTGTTGCCTACAGGAAATCCACTCAATGTGTTACATGTTCTTTCCGATATGTCGTGACTCGTGTTTAAGCCTTCTCTCAGCACTGGATCCATGATATGAAGTGGATTCTTCACTTCGTTTGAAAGATGAATCGAGACAAAAACATGTCCTTTATCGTGAGTGAACTGAAATGCACCAAGTAAATAATTAACAGATGTTATAAAACGGCAACGGTTAAAAGAGAAGATAGTGGAACGTGAAATATAGCGAACCTTTAGTGAGTTTCCGACAAGATTGGTAATTATTTGCCGGAAGCGTTTAGGATCGCCGATGACAACTTGAGGTACTTGGTTGGACGCATAAACAGCCAACTGTGCCGAACCAAAGTTTATCTAAGACTTCTTAAAGCCGAAATAATAGGATGTACAAAACAAAGTAAAGTATCTAAAGTTTGTGTTTTACCTCGATTCGTTTTTCAATGGATTTTTCAGAGAAATGTGATAGAACTTCATCGAGAATAGCATGTGGATGAAAAGCTACAGCTTCGAGTTCAAGCCTTCCGGCCTCAATCTTAGCTTGTTCGAGAACCTCACTTATGACCGATATAAGATCTTTACCACTATCATGAGCAGTTTGGGCACAATCGATCTGATTGTCATCAAGGTCAGTATCCATCAACATTTGCAGCATACCTAAAACACCATTCATTGGAGTCCTGATCTCATGCGAAACTGTCGCAAGAAACTGAGATTTTGCAACATCTGCAGCCTCAGCGCGAACCATGAGCTCTTTCATTCGACGATAGTCATCCTCTACTTGAGCTATTCGATTTATCGCTGCATGAAATATATGTCCAAGAAGCAAGGTAATAACAAATACCCCCACAGATGCATTGACTGCAGTCCAAGGAAATGGAGGCATGTGCTTGAACCTGGCAAGAAAATCGGAAATATTACCGATATGACAATTCAATTCTTGTTTGATCATAAAATAGAACTTTATAGTGAAAACAAACCTGCAGTGCATTTCGTGTTTTCGTAGCGGATCCCCAAAATCTAGACCGCTTACGTGTAGTAGGCCAGTATCAACAACATCGGTACCATACATTGTAATATGTGCAGATGCATTAGTTGTGTCATAAACATTAACAACAATAGTTTGCTTGCTGGCAAGTTGGTGAAGAAGCTTGTCTACCAGTGACAGAACATCGTAAGATGCGCCCAAATACCCGACAGTAGCTTCAATACGCTGTTCAGGTGTAGCATCTGGAGGAAGCTTAGAGCCATAGACAGCAAATGTAAGTACAACACCTAGGTGATTGGACTTCAGTAGTTTAAAAGGGGATGTCAGAACACCCTTTCCAGACGCCCTTGCTCGCAAAATATTCTCACGGTCTTCCTATAAAACAATGCAACAATTAATTTTACTATCGACCGAAATACGATTATAAGTAAAGTAAAGAGCATTTGGGGTGATAGCAAACTAAGAGAGGCGCACCTTCCCTGACATCATGTCAATAGATACAATATGAGAAACGGTTTCTTGAGCAAATATGACCGGTGCATATTCATCTTGAATAGGCGCCGGATCCAAGTTTTCTGGAATACAATCTTGAACTAATGCCTCGTTCTCGGTTTCCATTTTCTTAATTGTCCACCCATGCTGCTTCTCGAAATTCATCCTATCGGAATGCAGAACTTTCAAAGCATAAGCAACACCACTAGTAAGTGGTCTCTCAAATGCAGAACTCTCAGTATATTCTCCGAAAATATTCTGCAATGAAACACAAGCTTGGATGTTATTTTTTCCGTAAACTCTATCTCTTCGAGACTTTTCCTTAAAACGTATAATATTAAGTATAAGTATATGATACCTGGTCAACAGCAGAAGGATGTTTACCATGATGAAATGTAGACACAAGAATAGCGAGGGCGTGAACATGGTTCAAGCTCACGTTAAACTGATCTTGCAGCATACCGGCTCGCTCGTCACACATAGTGGCAAGCATTTCTTCTCTTCTTTGCACAATGTCGGAATTCAGGTGCCAAAATAGCCACGCGGAACCAACAATTCCAAGTGAGACGAAAATAACTAGCAACTTTTTTCTCCATCTTCCTGCAACCTTCGAATGACCATGCGTAAAACGTTGAAGTGGCTTTAGTTGACCAGCCGGATTCTCCTGACCTAACTTCTGCCTTCGACTCCTACTTATTAAGCACACACCAGACAACTTGAGTGACATAATAATTACAATAACGATCCAACAGAGCAAAACATTAACCAACTTGGACCGCGGCGCAAAATCCAATGTGACATATGTTTTCCATGGGAATGAGAATGATAATGATAATCCAGTCCTTGCCTCAACGAAATCATCGCGAACCGGACATTGTGCTAGAGACTCTACAACACATAGACTCTCCTTCGAAAACTCTTGATTCTTCGGACAAATCGAATGTGGAGTGTTGACTATGCCGCTGCTCAACAGTATTTGAATCCTTTTTTCATCAATACAGTTGGACAAAATCTGCATTATTATAGATCATATTCATAACTGCAACAACTACAATTTTCTTTCAAAAATTGAAAATCATTATCAGAAAGAGCAATTATTATACAGAAAAGTCCAATTACAATTAACCATTCAATTGAAAATTATTATCAGAAAGAAAGCTTATGTCACCTGATCTGATTCAGGGAACAAGGAGGCCAAAGCATGAAGCTGCTCCCTACTGACATTGTAACGTTGTAGCAACCTTTGTGTACTTTTTTCACAAGCTGCTTCATTAGTCAAACTATATAAGATAAACCAAACAGTCCCAATAGCAACAAAAGCACCAAAAACCCAAAAGAGAAATTGTTTCCACAAACATGTCCAAGTAGAATTAGACACGCGCAAAGAAGACTCATTTTCTTTCCTAGATTTGATTTTCTGTGACAATCTTCCATTTGAAGCAGAAACTCTTCCATTCACAGACATCCTTAAAAAAAATTCACCAACTTTCCTTTACTAAAGATTCAATGTAAAACTAAAATTCACTTCTTTGGCAGAACATTCAAAAAAACTGAACCACCAAACACTAAAAAACAAAAATTGAAGCAAACCCAGAGTTCCAATCACAAAACCCACTTCTCGAAACTCATAAAGTTTGATGCTTTATGAACAGAAGAAAAAAAAAAGAGTAAAAATTTGGATGAAACAAAAAAAACCCAATTCATATCTTAACAGGCCAGTTCAAACTTCAAATTAAAACAAGGACTGTATTGTCTTTGTGAGTGGTTGTTCCCTGAAGTTGAATGATGAGATATGAAACAAGACAAAAACATGAAGCAATAATCAGTTTAACACACACCACAGAAGAAGGTGAATCAGAGACAGTTTTGTATTGTCTTTTTTGACAATCTCTCAGTGAGTGAGAGAGTGAGAGAAGAGAAAATCGTGGTGTGAAACCGCGAAAGGAAGAGATTGGAAGGAAAAAAATTTGTAGTTTTGCTAAAAACTGATTGTTTCTGCTTCACTGAGCTCTGATGAACCAAAAAAAAGCATCAAGAGTGGAAGAAAGTGCCCATCACCTTGTAATTTTGATGAGATAATATTAAATTATTTGGTTTTGTTTTTTCTCAAAGTAAAAATGTCCCTTTTTTAATTAAAAATTTAAATTCTAAATATTTGAAATTTCAATATTAACTCAAGTTGATTGAGATGATTTGTTTCAATTTCAACTTAACTAAGTTTTGTTGTGTTTGTTATATTGAGACAAAAATTAATTTTAAATAAACTGATTTTGATAAAAAAAAATTGAGAATAAATTAATTTATATGTGATAATATATATGTATATAATTTCTCTCTCTTTAGTTTGGTGGTGGGAAGCATTAGTTGAGAATGGAACATCATTATCTCATCATCATGTGGTGGGGGAAGCTTAAGCAAAAGCAAACAAAATTCGATTATTTAAAAAGTGAGTTGAATGATGAGATTATATATATTGATTCACATGAGGATAGTATAATATTGGTTTTTCAAGAGTTGAAAAAGACATGACTTTGGTTGATGAATGGTTTAAAATGAAGTACTCCAGCTGTGTGTGCTGCACAATACGGATTCATGACAGAAAAGATAAAGAGAGTCAGTCACAAAATAACAAAGCAATGCTTCTCTTTCTGCTCAAACGTTGAGACTTGAGACTGTCATAGTAAAACACAGACTGAGGCTAAATATGGTAATGCATCTTGCTACACATTTTCTAGTTACCAATTCTATCAAAATATAAAACAATACTAGTACTTTTTTAAAATTCAATTATTGTGAGATGAATAACAAAAAATGATTAAGTTTGATATTTTATTATTGTAAAAAATGGATGGTTTAAATATTATAAATCGATGTTTTATTTATTTATTTATTTTTGAAGTATAAGTTAACTTATTTTAAAATTAAATACTAACCCAATTTAATCTATTTTTGAATTTCACTTTTAAAATTAAAAATTAAAAATTTAATTAGAATCTTGATCTCAAGATTGTTATGTATTGACAATGAACAAAAATCAAGAACACGTTTAAAGAAGATGAGTATGAACTGAAGAGTAACTCTCTGTCCACAATTGTGGAATTTTATTATCACTTTGCAACTGAAAAACCGTGATTATCAAACTTGATGATTACAATGATAAGGGTTCCTCCCTATTTATATATTTAGGTTAACTTACATCTCAAGGTAAAGCGCAAACAATAAAAGCCCAAAAATATATAATCTGATCTTTCTAAATCAAATATAATATTTCTAAAATAATGAATTACATATTTAACACACAACTTAATTCATTGTGTTTAAACTATCTACATTCATTATAGACCTTAACTTCTTGAACACTTTGATTGGCACTCCCTTCGTCATGACGTCTGCAATCTTATATCTTCTTTGGTGCATCATCAAACCTCTGCCACTCTTGTAGAATTTGATGTCAAGGAAATATGAGAGATTTCTCAAGTCTGACATTTCAAACTCTTCACTTAAGTCATATTTGAAGTCTTCGATCTCCTTCTTGCAACTACCTGTTATCAATAAGTCACCGACATAGAGACATAGTATAAGCAATTCACTATTGTTTCTCCTTACATATACTTCATGCTCAGTCATGGACTTCACAAATTCCTTCTTCCTTAGAAAGTTGTCAATCTTCTCATTCCAAGCCCTTGGAGCTTTCTTAAGTCCATACAGGGCTTTATGTAGCCTGTACACCTTTCTTTCTTCACCTTGTTTCATAAATCCATCTGATTGTGCAACATAAACTTCTTCGTCTAAGAGGCCATTAAAGAATGCACATTTCACGTCCATCTGACATGTGTGCCAATTTTTCATATTAGTTAGACCAACAACTAACATGATTGTTTCGATTATAGCAACAGGTGCAAACACTTCGTCGAATTTTATTCCTTCTTTCTAAAAAAATCCTTTTGTTACAAGTTTCGCCTTGTGTTGAGTTACCTCTCTTTTAGGATTCACTTTCACCTTGTAAACTCATTTCATATCAATTGCCTTCTTGCCTTAAGGCAATTTGATAAGTGACCAAGTGTTGTTAACTTTGATGGACTCTAACTCCTCATTCATTGCTTTCACCCCCTTCGAATCTTTCAATGACTCAGCTGCATTGACTGGTTCGACATCTGCGTAGAAAGCATAATGTACCAGCTCACCCTCATCATCGACCACATCATTTGATGTAATCACACATTCTTGCAACCTTGCAGAAATATGTGTTGTTCGTCGAGGTCTGCTTGGGCTTGCTTCATCTCTAACTTGAACCCTGTCGAACTTCTCTTTCGACTACAGTAGTTGGTTCTTCACAAAAGATTCTCACTAAATCTTTCTTGACATTTTCAGTTCAATCCCATTCTTTAAACTCATTTATGATCACGTCCCTGCTGATCACTACCTGCTTATTCACTGGGCCGAACAACTTGTAATCTTCAATCGAAAGATATCCTATCAAAATCATCTGATTCGACTTGTCATCAAGCTTCCTTCTCAACTGATCTGGCACATGCCTACGTGTTATATATCTAAACACCTTCAAGTGACTGAGGCTAGGCTTGACACCAAACCAACATTCTTCTAGTGTGATTCCTTTAAGCTTCTTCGTCGAATATTTGTTTAATATATATGTTGCTGTCGAAACCGTTTCTCCCCATAATTCTCTGGGTAGATTCTTTCCATTCAACATACTTCTCACCATGTTCATGATGGTTTTGTTCTTTCTTTCTGTAATTCCATTTTGTTGTGGAGTGTAGGGTGGCACCACCTCATGCATAATCCCTTATTTTTCACATAATGCATCAAACTCTTTCACACATACTCTCCACCACCATCAGTCCTCAAAATTTTTATATTTTGGCCACTCTGTCTTTCGACCAATGATTTGAATCTGGAAAATACCTCGACCATATCAATTTTCTTCTTGATGAGGTAAGTTCATAGCTTTCGAATATAATCATCTACGAACGTGACAAAGTATTTGTTGCCTGCAATCGAATCCACCTGGATTGGACCAGATACATCAGAGTATATGACTTTCAGAATTGCCTTCGACTTCCTTCCTGCATCCTTGCTAAAGATAGTGTTGTTTCGACTGAACACACTCTTCACAGACTTCACTTGGAATGTCAACTTCAGGTAATCCTGAAACCATATTTCTTCTCTTTAGCTCTCTGATGTCATTGAAGTTGAGATGACCTAGTCGAAAATGTCATAAGCATTCATCTCTGTTGGCTGCAGTTGCTAGGCACTTGTGCTCAATCACATTGAGTTCAATATTGAAGGTCTTATTCTGAGACATCGGAGCCTTCAAGATCAACCTACCACCTGTGTCGATAACTCTCATCATCTTGTATTTGACATTAACCTTGTAGTTCTTTTCGACTAGCTGTCATATACTGAACAAATTACTCTTCTTGTTTGGTATGTACAATACATTAGAAATTGCTGACCTCTTGTCATCTTTCCTCATAATCAGAACATCACCAATACCTTCAACTGCTAGAGTATTGTCATTTGAAAATTTCACCGTGTTCTTCGAGGAGGGCTTCTTGTTGACAAACCAATCTTTCTTTCCAGTCATGTGTGATGAGTATCCTGAGTCTAAGTACCACTAGTCCTATAATCTCTCTTCGTAACTTGTTGTGATCATCAACAACATCTCTTCTTCTTCATGTTTCGCCAGTTTTGCATCAATTTCTTGATTCTTTTTCTTTTATGGAAAATCACTAAAATAATGACCATACTAACATTGAATGTGACTTTTTTCAGGCTTTCAACCACCACATATCCCTCTACCTACAACACCACCTCTTTGATTTCCTTGATTCCATTGTTTTCTCTGGTTCAACCAGTTTCCTTCATGTTGATTTCGACTAGTCAAATTGGTGTAGCCTCATCTACCTTTATTGTCATTCTGGCTTCCTTTGCCTTTCCTTTCTTTTTTCTGACTGTGTCTGCAAAGCCATATCACTCTTCGACTTTCTTGCAGCTCTTTCAGCCATGCTTTGTTCACGAGACTCAAGCGTTCCTTGAAGCTCTTCCTTCGTTAATAATGACAAGTCTTTCGACTATTCTATGGCTACTACCACATGGTCGAATTTTGGAGCCAATGACCTCAAGATCTTCGACACAACTGATCTTGATGTCAACACTTCTCCATATAACTTAATTTGATTCACCATCTTTGTAACTCTGGTGAAAAAAATTGTTATACTTTCATTGCCTTGCATCTGAAGCAATTCATAAGTCCTCTTATGAGTTTGTAACCTCGCCTCTTTCACGTTCTTTGTGCCTTCAAACAATTTTTCAAGAATCTCCCAAGCTTCTTTTGCTTATTCTACATCACTAACCTTTTCAAAGTTATCTAGATCAACACATTGATGGATTACAAAGAGAGCTTTATAATATTTCTTCTTCAATTCCCTGTGTGCAGCCTTTTCT